AAAATTCTATTCACTTATATTACATCTTTGTCAAGTGTCAAATAATAAATCATACTTTTTCATGATGATGAATAAATTAATTAAGTGTGAAAGATAACACTAATTTTTAGAACCAAATTTTACAAATGTTTTTGTAAAATATTTATTATGACCTATGTCTTATGTAAACTTATATAATCAATGGTAGAAATGATTTCTATACCAAAATTCTATTCTAAAATTAGTCCCAAGAATCATATTGCCCGTCAAATAGATAGAGTAATGATATGTAGAAAATTTTTTTGTATAAATTTTTTGGATACTTAATTGATACATCATTTAATTTAATATATTATATAACACATTTATTAAAAAGTTATTATTATTTTTATCTAAAATTAAAAACATGCAACCTTAAAAATGCAGTCATACATATGATATGCAAAAATTAATTGAATTAACTATATTTATATTATATTTTAATAATTATATCAAACAGATATTAAAAGACGTGTAAATTTATGAGTATATTAATTATTTTTAAATTTTTTATATAATTTTCATATATTACTAAATAAATAAATAAATATAATATCACAAACCCTTGTAAAGTAAAAAGAGCACATCATTAAATAACAAATAAGATCATATGAGAAGGTTGAATGGTAAAATTATATTTCAACCATTTTCCTTAAGTAAATATCTATATATATACATATATAATTTCCACGATATTGATAGGTATGAACTTTAGGAAATTATTTTGTCTCCGAATGGAGAAAATATCTACTGGAAGTGTGAAACACGAGAAGACTAAGAGATAGAGATTGTGTGACGGTTGAGTAATTGCAATGAAAAGGGATTTCTATCTTGTGCAACAAGCTAAGTAGGGATGGACCTTGAAATTTGTGTTAGAAAGGAGCGAATTTTTGTCTTAGTATTCATGTCCTCAAATTAGTTCATTTTCTTTGAAATTTTAATTCTTCTTTCTCTGAAAAAATATTCCATTATAATTGCATTTCCGATTCGCATGTTTTTAAACAAGGAAGAAAAGAATACATTTATCAAAACACGAAAACAAAAACATTATAATAACAAATTAGTTAACTTCTAATATCATTTAACAGATGAATCCTTTTATTAAAATTAGAAATATGTGGCAGTGGATATTTTCTTATTTTCGGAGATAATCTTCTACTATAATTGCCTAAAAAATAGTAGTTAAGATTGTGGGAACGCTATCCTGCGTTGAATATTCGACTCTCAAAATATCCTCCTTTCCATCTCTCTTAGTATTGTAAGTATAATTGTAAATTGTTAAAAAAAAAAATCAATATTTTAAGTTAAAAATCTTAAATTTAATTTTTAAAATAAGTTGTGAGAAATAAATTAAGAGTGAAGAGAGTTATCCATGTTGTATATATAATCCATCATTCGATATACTAAAAAAAAAAAAAAATCAATTTTAAGCTTGTTTTGCGCTCTTCTTTTTTTTTTCTTTTGAACAATGTTTTGCGCTCATTGATACGCCAATTTCTAATTATTCAAATCTACATTATCCTCATAATCCCTATTATTCTGGAAACTCTGTAATTACCTGCCAAATCCTACTAGTAAATATTTTCTCCATATTCAAAAAGTGCTTGTAATTCCAAATCTAAATATAATGAATATTGATAAATATACCTTTTAGTTTAACATAAAACACAATATATTTATTAAAAAAATTATTATTTTTATAAAAATATTAAAAATTAATATCTTTAAATAAAAAATTAAATAATAATATTTTTATTTATATAAAAACTAAAAAAATTATTGTTTTTAAATAAATAATAATATTAACATCAACACCCATGAGTGGGTGGATGAGTTAACTGGGACTCTTCCAACTTAATTAGAGGTCTTGAGTTCAAACCCTGAGAATGCAGCTCCGTTAAAATTCATGAGGGAGAGTTTTGTCACCCATTAAGTCCTGCCC